ATGCCGGCCACATGACCACAGAGACATCTTCGGACAGCGCTGGCTCTTCAGCTTTGAAACGGAGATGAGCACCGGCCTCTAGAGTCAGGAACGACCAGCACATATGTGCGAGGGGAACCTTTACCTTTTTAAATGTAATTAATTTATTTCAAGAGGTTTAGGTTCTTCTACCTGGCACACAAATGACACTTGGAGGCTCACAATACAAAAACAATGATAAACAATTGCAACTAAACAATGCACAAAAAATGAATTATGTCCACTTTCCCCCAAAGTCTGGGGGAATATTCAAGGCTCCCTGGAGTATCCTTGGTATTGCAGCTACATGATTCTATGGGGGAATCACATTTCACAGAATAGCCTCTACACGAGGGACAATACAGTCCTGGGTCCTGATAGGGGGCATTGGTTAATCAAAGGGACCCAAAGTGTGCCACCTTGCCAGTTCTTGCTGAATGGGTAGAAACTATGAGAAGTGGCTGATTCCTCAAGTAACCTAGTTCTATGCCGTGTAGGGCTTCACAGCAGCTCCTGAAAGCACACCAGCAGCTAATGCAGCTTGTGAAACAGTGATGCCACATGGGCATACTGCGGCATGTCTACCATATCCATCAATCATCTGTGCCTTTTGATTCTGGACCGTGTGAAGTTACTGAGTAGGCTTCCCATGGAGAGTGCATGGCAATAGTTGAGCAGAAAGATTAGGGCAAGTGTGAGTAGCTGAAAGGCCTGCTGATCTATGACAGGGTGTAGCTGTCACAGAAAATAAAGCTGTGTGAAGGCTTCGTTGGCCATAGATGGCAGGTAGTTTTTCAATAGGAGCTGTGAGTCCCTACTGCCCATTAGTCTTCAATGGGAAAAGCTATTTCATCTAAGGTTAAAGGTGGGAAATCCCTGGGTCTGGGGCGAGAAGATCAGTGGTATGTTTCACATTTTGTTACCACCGATTTGCTGTGCATGCACCTGGCCTTCCACGCATGCACTTTGCTCGCACGTGCGCCCCTATGCATGCGCCCGGCCTAAAAAACATGAGCTGGGGTGGGCGGGCTGGCCCACCGACGATTTCCGCTACCAGTTTGGATGAACCAGTCCGAATCGGCTGAATACCACCTCTGGAGATGATGTTGGGCTGATACCAAAGCCACTTGGCCTTGGAGGGATTTTTGTGGGTTTACGGATTGAAATGCATTTTTATTCTTGACAACCCTTGTACCATCCACTCCATCATGTTAACTAGGGGTGTCAAACACAAGGCCCCGGGGCGTATCCGGCTCATGGGGTGCTTAGATCTGGCCCGCAGGGCTGCCCTGGAAACAGTGAAGGACTGGTTTGTGATGCCTCTGCCAGTGAAAATGGAGCATGGTATAAATATTATACTAGTATGAATAGTAAGGATTTTTACCAAATCGTTTATTAAAAGAGGAAACCCCATTGAATTCCACAGTAGGGTGGTTTTTTTTAAATAAATAAATAAATGCCCTGTGAACGTTGTAATTTGAAAAAAACAGAACACTTTATTTCAAATATTCTCTCTTTTTGCCTGCAGGCCACAGAAACACTATTCCGCATGGCAGTATCAAGAGGAATAATTACTCCGTTAAGACATGGAGAGGTAAAACTTTTCCCTCCCTGCATGTGTGGTGTGGGTTTTTAAAAGTGAACGGGTGAAGCAGGTTGATGAGGGTTGATGGAAATATCTGAACAATGAAAGGAGAAGCATTCTTATGATCATCCTCTCTGCCATTAATTGGTAGTTTAAGGGGGTGAGTGTTATCCTTGTATAGATTATTTTAAAAAGACAAAAACGGCACCCTCTTAAGAACTTAAGGATAGGACTGCTTGATCAGGCCTCTCTGTCAGAACTGCCACCTCCTGCCTGCTCTTTGCAATCACTTCGGTACCAGTCTGCCATGAACACTGGATGTGTCGGTGAGAGAGGGAGCGCTTGGGGCAGTGGTGGGTTCTGGATCCCGTCACAACTGGTACACTGCGATGGGTCTGGGTGTCCACCACGTGCATGCGTGCATGCACACCCACCACCCACGACACTCCAGCTGCTCAGTGGAGCGTCACGCAGGCGCCGTGTGCAAATGGCCTGGTTGGGTCAAATATAGATAAGAAGGGTGGGTGGGTGGACCCTCCGAAGCACCGTACCAGAACCGTACCTGGTGCTCCCAGCAGGCACCAGTACACCCGTACCGGGGCGTACCGGCCGTAACCCACAAAGTAAGTGAAAGTACCTATCTGAGACGGTGTTTCGAGGTTGCTCCACGATGAGAAGAATGTTGCTGTGAGCCAGCCTACAATCAGAGTGGCCATTTCTAAAGCATCTTCTTTGAAATTGATGCGGGGGACGAGGACAGACAACACCAGCAATGGGAAGTGCCTTTCGCTTGGCGTTTTGCCACGCAAATTTCAGTTCTGGCTTTGCACTACTGTATTTCACTTGGCTTCCTGTAAATCATATATTTCTCAACCCAACAGTGCTAAAGATTGTTTTTTTTACTTAGAAGCCTAAGTTGGGGCAAGCCTGGCACTTTCTGAACCCAATAAATATTTTTCTGGTTGCTCATAAGTCAGAGAGATATAGATATATTCCTCTACTGCCGTTGTTTCTGCAGCAAACATTTGGAGGGATATTATCCCTCCTCCTCAAGATAAATATGGAAATTTCAAAAGTAATAGCCCTTGATTCGCTAGTTCTGTGTGGATTTAGTCATTCCCTTTTTCATCTATCTCTAACACACGCACGCACACAATCACACACAAAGTGCACATAGTCTTGTATTAACATTGCCAGTGGGAGAGGATTAAACCCACTTAAAATGATCGTTCCTCCTGATACGTTAAAGCGGTTGTTTGAGTGCATACTAAATAAAGAACAGCAAGGCTGATCTTGAAGTAATAACCGATCTTCACTTTGCGCTACAATGAGCCGAATTTGGAAGAAAATAGCACTCAAACCAAGCGAGTCCGTAAGGGCTCTTCAAACCTGGGCACGTTTCCAGCATCAGATGGATGTGTGGAGTTTTATAACACCGCACATTTTCTTTCCCTTGTGTTCCTTCTCTCATCTTTTCCGTACGCTGGGATAATCCAGTTTCTTCGTCTCCCTGGCTGTATTTCTTTTAGCAAGCTTTCCCTATAAGGAGTCATCTTTTACACCTAATACGGGGTTGTTTGCTCCTTTCTGCGTGGATTATGGGATTATTGACAAGGTTTTGGCACGGGGTGTGGAAAGGGGGCTGCCAAGCGTCATTCATCTAAGCCAGGCAGATAATTCTTGGAATGGCAATCCTGTTCAACAACATCTACTGGAGAATGAAAAATTACTTCAGGACATGTTACAGCCCTGGAGTTGACGGATCTCCAAGAAGTCTAATCGCACCAGGGGAGATAATGAAATTTAAGAATATAATTGACCTCATGGCTCAGCGCATTTCTCCCCTCTTCCCTACTAAAGTATTTTCACTGGGAATCCATTTGTTCTAGTGGTTTAGGCAGCAGGCTCGAAACCAGGAGACCGTGAGTTCTGGTCCTTCCTTTGTCATTAAAGCCGGTTGAGGGACTTTGGACCAATCACTCCCTCTCTTAGCTCAACCCACCTCAACGGGTGATTGTTGTACGGAAAATAGAAGGAGGAAGGAGCATTCGTTATTTTTTTTCCCACCGCTTTGAGTTCTTTATAAAAATAATAATAATAATGAAGGCTGGATTTAAAAAACAAAACTTTTTTAAAAAGGCTCCATTCTGGAAAATATTTGTAGATTCTGAGGTCGCTTGTTTCCCCCCCCCCCCCTCTGGCTGTTAGAGATCCCAGTGGAATCTGGTTGGTTTTCTGATGGTTTTGTCAGTCTTCAAGAAAACTTAAGAGCCCAGCCTCATCCAAAAGGTAGAGGAGGCAACCAGAGCCGTGATGGCGAAACTATGGCGTGCGTGCCAGAGGTGGCATGCTAGCGCTCTCTCTGTGGGCATGCGAGCCGTCGCCCCAGTTCAGCTCTGATGCGTACGTGCCTATCGCCAGCCAGCTGGACTTTGGGTCTCTGCTGAACATGCACGGTGGGCGGGGCATGTGCGTTGGGCTGCGTGCACATGCATGGGAGGAGGGTCCCATGTGGGGGTGCGTGCATGTGTGCATGTGTGGGGGCACATATGTGGGGCACATGCACATTGCATTTTGGGGGTTCGGGCGCTCTTTGGGCACGGTGCGGAAAAGGTAGCCATCACTGAACTTGTGGCTCAGCTCTACTGGACTTAATTCTTACTAACATGAAGTTTTCCTTCAGGGCAGTGTGACTGTCTTTTTTCATGCTCCAGTTTTCTTCTTCTTTTTTTTTAAAAAAAAGCTTTTTCACTTCCTTTTTGATGGTCATCAAGGGAATGTGAAAGAGAAAAGAATATAAATTGGTGTTTGTCATCAAGAAGGATGGGTTCATCTCATAAGTGATCTTTTACATGAGACGCAAGAAAGCTGGACATAATTCTGCAGACAACACTTCAGGGATTCTATTTTGGCGGACAAAGGCTATTGTGTTTCCTGTCCCAAATAGTAAAAATTTCAGGGGGGGAAATTAAAAAGGGACAGGAACCATATGACTTACAGTACTTGTTGCTAAGTGAAGGTTCCCTTATTTATTTATAAGAGCAGCCATAAGCTTTCTTGATCTCCCAAAGGCCCCGAAGTAACAAATCCTGACATACTAGGTATCTTCCTTCCTTCCTTCCTTCCTTCCTTCCTTCCTTCCTTCCTTCCTTCCTTCCTTCCTTCCTTCCTTNTTTTTTGTTGTTACTAAATTTACAAAACTATGTTAATTTGAAAATACTAACATGAACAAATCATTACTGTTTAAGGAAAAGCAAATTTCTATAGTTACAAAGAGATGGAAATTTTGTCCCGAAAAAAAATATCTGGCACATTCAGTCCAATTGTATACTATGATTTAGCAAAAGTTCAATCAATAAACAAGAATCTGACAGGGCTGAATAGATAGTATCATCATCATCACGACCACCACCACCACCACCACCATCATCATCAATCGTCCTACAAATCAGAATTAGGTTGGCTCAAGCTGGAATAATAATAAGATGTTGCTAAACATTAACTGAGCTTCTGGCAACACAAATAAAAAATTGGCTTTGTTCTCCAACAGTAAAGCAATACTTTTTGCCACCAGCTTCCTACCATGCAACATAACACTATCCTAAGGACAAAAGGAAATTATCAAAATAAACAAATACACAAAAGAAAAGAAAAAAATGAAAATGCCCTGTGCGGTATTTCTTTTTGAAGTGTAACCTATCTGATCTGTATGTATAATTCTGCAAATGTACTCCTTTATATGTTTAGTTAGTATAGTGCTAAATATCTTGTAACCAATATTTAATAAATTGATCTACAGTATATAATTAAAATTTATTAAGATCATACCATTCTTTGTGTATTTCCATTTTATATCTCCCTTCCGCAAACTCTGGTATTATGTTTAATATTCAAATTTCATTACCTTCAATGTGGTTTTGCTAGTTTCTTTTCTAGCTTTTCATAAAGAGAGGCCATAAAGTATTTAGGCCCGGTGCTTAACTAATTTTAATTTTTTTCTAATTCTTTAATATGGACACAAAAATATAGAGTTACAATTTGTCATCTTCTAAAAACTTCTTAGAATTTAAAAACAAGGGATACGAATGTGTCATCTAACCGAGGCAAATCATTCTGTTAAAAAGTTCAGAAATTTGTTCAGAATAGGCACCTGAGGTATCTGTCTCTGGTACTACACAAGAAAGAGATGTCACCCAAAACGTAGTTCAATATTTTAAGTTGTCAGATGGATCAATGTTTTTCATTCAAGAAATAGTAAGTAATCAGGTAAAATATATTCCCAAGTATTATTTCAGCATCAGGGATTTGTCTACATGATGCTGTTTATTTGTCAGGGAAGAACTATTACATTTCATTAGGATGCAGTGAAAAGGAAAATAAGCATGCAATTAACTTTAGGTTCCCCAAGCTCTTAAAGAGAGTGGCCAGTTTTCAATTCCCACAAATACACTAAAGTACATATATTCTGAGATTCTTGGTTGCAACACCATTTACACATAGAAATTTGGTGTGATATTATTCATACAAATGACAAAGTGGGGGAGCTTTCAGTACACATGCCTGGGATTAAAATATGAACAATAGTCAAGTTATCTTTAACATTATGAATTCTGTGGCAACAGCCATATCCAGTCATAAGAACATTAACTATGCTAGTCCTTTTATTAAGACCGCAACAGCAAAGGCAATATGAATTCTTCAATAATCGTTTAAATATAAAATACATGTTGTTTGCATATGGCCTAATCACAGAATGTAAGCAGGCAGAAATCTGTCCAATCTTTCATTAGCTTGTGTTATCCCTTCTATTTCAGGCACAATAAAAACACCTCCTCCCAGCTTTCCCAATCCTTTATCTGGGTCAGTGCAACCACAATTTCTACCCTAGTGTTTGTTGTCAAGATTCATTAGAGCCAAGATAACAGAAAAAAGGATCAAGTGTGCCATCTTTACAGGCTGTCAACAAATGATTCGCTATTATTTGTTGTCAAGTTATCAAGGCTGACAAAACAGAAAAGGATGCTTACTGGTTTTTATACGCAGATGTTTTTTTAAAAAAATATATTCTTTTAAAGCCCATTTAAGGTTAAAAGAATCCTTCAGTTACAGTAGAGCTACTTTAGCTCGACCTTGTCTAATTTACATGCATATTCATAACCCTTATGTATTTAATTAAATTCTCTAGTCCCTGGAGTGTCTTTCCTAAACAATGGTAATTTATCATGTGCAGATAAGGGGGCCTTGGATATATTTCGCTTTGTACTTCGCAAGATTCTCTCTTGATGCAGATTATGAAGTAGCTTCAAATGCAGAAAATCTTTTTAAAATTATTCAGCACTAAAATTAAGTTTTCTTTTCAACACCCAGAATTTAAACACTGCATACTTGTCAGATATCAACAGAGATACCATTTTGATGTCTTAAATATCTTTTTGGTAGATAATACCTCCAGGAGTGCTCTTCAACACACAAGAAGTTATTTAAATTCCATTTTTTTACAGTTAATACAAATACTATTGACATCAAGGGGCAAACTTCTATCTCAAGACAACAATGCTTCTGAAGTTCTATGTCAGGAAAAATACTACTTCATTCAAACACTGTATATAGAGCTAGAACAGTTGGCCTATAATTCTAATAGAGGTTTCCTTTATATTTCAGTAATTTAAACATTCAAAAAAAAGCAAATGCTGGCAGGATGGGATATAAACTAGCTTTGGGCAAACAGAATCTCAATGTCAATCCACAAACACAGTTTCCAGTTTATAATTTACACTTTCTTTGACCTCTGCCATACGATGTGTATAGTAGTAGGATGTCACTCTATGCTAAGTAATACTTTGTAATTGCCAAAAGCCAAAATAACACATTCTTGTTTCCCTGTGTCATGTCTGCTAACTATAATTGTTTGGGGCAATTATGATTTGGGGCAGTTCATCCTGCCCCAAAAACGTGTTCCAGAAAATCTCAGGCTAGTACCTTGAATCTTCCCTGAAGATTGTTGTAGTGGCATTAAAGAAGCCTGAGGAGGTGCAGGCCATCACAAATGACATTTTGTCATGAAACTGCTTCCAGTTTGCTTCTCTGATCAGCACATCAAACTTGCACCTGAAGTGTAACTAGTCAGAATGTAGAGCTGGCTTACCTCATACGCTCATTTTCTGAAGAAGTGAGACAGCATCCCTGTGTGGGTTATTCTCATGTACCAACCAATAGAACTGAGTCTGCAAAGTTTAAGTCCTGCCTCTTCCTGCTGAGATCCCCAGCTTTTTTGACGAAACTAATATGCAGACAGACGTGCTTGAACAAAAAAATGATCTCCCCAGAATAACGGACCGGACCTCAAGTGTGGGCTGGATGCTGTCTCCACTTCTTCAGAAAATGAGCATATCAGGTAAGCCAACGCTACATTTTCCTGACTCAGTGGAGACAACATCCCTGTGTGGGACATACCAGAGCTTGTCCAGCATCACAGGAGAGAAACTGTCTGGGACGAATCCCCTTGACTAACCCTGACCTGCTGTAAGACTCTTCTCCCAAAGGCCACATCCGCCGATCAATGTTCCCTCTAATTTTTTTTCAGTGTGAGCTGCGTGGAGGGAGAGGCACCACTGCCACGGGCGGGGGTGCTGACGGGAGCTTTGGCGGCTTCACCTCAGCTGTGTCGGGCGGCAAATCCGGAAGTGCTGTTGGAGGAGGAGGAGGCGGCAGCAGATATTCCCCTTCTGCCTGTGACAGAAATCACTGCGCGCGGTTAGAAACGGCTGCGCGGTGTTTTCTTGCCACGTGGGGGGGCGACAGGCCCCCCCCCCCCCCGAGGAACGAGACAGCCCGAACGAGAATT